AGCAAGAAGCAAATAGAAAATCTAGTAAAATGTGTGCTTAACCAAAAAAGATCTATTTTTTCTCATAATCCAACCATGTATAGCAAGAAGCAAATGGGAAATCTAGTAATGTGTGTCCAACCAAAAAGATATCTTTTTTCTCATAATTCAACCATGTATAGCAAGAAGCAAATGGGAATCTAGTAAAATGTGTGTTTAACCAAAATTGATATATTTTTTCTCATAATCCAACCATGTATAGCAAGAACCAAATGGGCAATCTAGTATGTGTTTAACCAAAAAATATATCTTTTTCCCATAATCCAACCATGCATAGCAAGAAGCAAATGGGAAATCTAGCAAAGTTGTGTTTAACCATAATTGAATCAAGAAAAAAGAAATCTTTTACCTTTTCAGAAAAGAATCGTAAGCCCTTATCCGGATAATCCGCTTCATATGTCTCTCCAAGAAGAGGGTTGAAGGGTTTGCATTGTCGACCTTCCGTTGATGCATAACCAGAAACAGCAAAAGCCGCAATGCTTAATATTCTCATCAAATCATTCCCCTGCATAAGTACAACTTCGAGTTCAGTCGAACTTCAAAAGAACAAATAGGGAACTCATTTCTTTCATAAAGAGCAATGTCAAAATGCTTAAAATCTGTACAAAAGAAGTCATAGAGGCAATAAGGAACGAGATTAACGTCAATATAAATAGTTGCACTTCAAAGGAAATAGGCAATTAATCGTGGGTTAAATTCCTACTCAATGGAATTGCCATGAATAAGCATAGGTTGAGTACCTGACCTTCTTTCCCCATTCCAATGCTCGGTCAACCAAACAAGAATATTCCAAATCCTCAAAGCATTTTTGCAATGAAGAGAGTGGCTCGTTAAAGTAAACAGGGAGGCAAACACCAGACAGGTCCTTTCCAATATTATCTTTGATTATAGACCATAAACCAACCGGCTTTTCTTTTTCCTTTGGTTCAGGTAAACTGTCCCTCCTTTTGATGGAAGGATACTGAATTAGATTGATTTCAGTTCCAGCCCCTCGTAGACGACCAGATAAGAACGAGTCCTTTTCATTTCCCAAAGAAGTAGATCCATTTCCTGTACTTTCTCTACTCCGATAGGATGCACATCTTAAAACATCAGCCGACATGAATTCATTTGTGTCAAAAAAGGTTCCGTTCTCTTCATCTGATTCAATGTCCACTCCATATCGGCTTTCATTGTCTGCGTCTGAATCGGTTCCACTCCCCTCAGACATGATGGAATAGAAATCTGTTGCAGTGGCCCAGCAAGTGTTATCAATAACCAAATGCTTGTATTTGTAAGATAGTCAGTGAAAAGATAGCCTTAAAAGATCAAATTACCACTGAATCTTCTATCTTGCCCACAAGAAGAATCCCGCTCTTTTGTTTCATCAACCACAGTTGTTTCCAGCTCAATTTTCTCAGTCTGCAAATCAAATTTAGCCGATTAATTCAATATTTCTACGTGCATCTTTCATGAAGCAAATATGATTTCAAACATATGAATAAACTTGCAATATTTAAAGCTAAAATGAATTATGTCAAGAGCAGAACATCGGATCTTTCTTTGCGGCTCCAATACACCAAGGTTCTACTAATATTCGTGTCATACAATCCTACAAAATTTTCTTTTTGGAATGGACTAATCCCGGCAAATTATGACCGCAAGAAATCAGCCCTGATAAGCTCAGTGGCCACAATTGTTGTGTATAGAATAGAACCCCGGGAAGATGGGATATTCCACCACATCCCCCAGGGCCTCAACCATTACCATCCTCTAAATTTGCCTAGGTAGGTCAACAAAAAGGGGGAAAGCAAGAGTTCAACATATTTAAAAACTTTAGAATTTAAAGGGGGTACCTCTAATTGTCTCAATGTGTCGAGGAGCACAATATGTTTAAGCTGAAGAGCCTTCATTTGGTTTTGCAGGGCAGCGAGTTCACCCAACATAATAGACTCACAATCTTTGATTACTTCCTCTGTTATGCCTTCCTGAGACAATCGTGATCGTAGCTTATCTGTCGAAATAACCATGTCTTCGGAGGGAGCAAGATCCCCTGTAGACAATCTAGGGAATTTATCCTTAGCAGCTAGAAGGGACTCGATCCATGCAGCTCTGTCATCTCTAGATATGCACCGTAAGTGGAGAGTTTTTGTTCCGGAAAATATAGATAGTCTTTTGTCGTCTGACTTGCTTGCTCTTACAGAAGAGACCTGTAGATCATACACTTCAGAAAACAGCAGGATGTAGAGGCACACACTTAAAAAAGTTTTTAAAAACTGTATCTACATTATCTACAATCAAAATATGATTCCATGGCTAATTGCTAGATAGCATTCAGATCTTGTGGATACAAAAATCGGATTCGGGGAAGAAGGCTATCATTCAGTTTCTTTATCGAATTCTGATTTCCGCTTGACTAAATGGCAACATGGACCACGTATTTTCTACAAACTAAGAACGATAGAGCACCCATCACTGAACAATTGTCATACACTAGATTATTTAATACTATCATTTCAACCTCATATGTCTCCAGAATATGAAGAAACAAGCTTTATTAAATCTATTCAACAGACAGAAGTTGTCCATTCAGAACATCATTCACAAACATCTTAAACTCAGCATAAACTCAACATCAATAAAAAAAAATCATGCAACACCACTAACCCAAATGCCTCTATGTTTCTATGGTAGCAATGACAGAAAATTTCATAAAAAAGAACATGAATTGTACAAGAAGTTAAACATCAAAGTTGTAGTTTCACTACAAACTAAAGATTGTGCTTACAGAATAACAACAAATCTGTGGATCCACCTACATGTCTTGCTTTTACTGCTGTGATCGGAGTTACTCCATCTATCGCTTAGTGGATTTTCTAGTGAATGACTCTATAGCCAGCTTTTGAATCAATTTTGGGAGGATCTTTGAGCAGGAAATGCAGCAGGAAACAACCATTAGTATGATACCGTACATTATTGCACACTTTAGTGTTTTTCCTTTTTTTCTTTTTCACATTTTAGGAACAAATGGTTGGTTCGAACCACAAGGGTTGTAACTTAGTGGTTGAGGCCTTGGGATGTGGTGGAATATCCCATCTCACAGGGTTCTATTCCGCACAACACAACAATTGTGTCAACCGACTTTATCCGGTTGATTTTTTGCCGTCACAATTTGTCGGATTCAGTCTAGGCATAGCCTGAGACGCCCTTCCAAAAAAAATGGTTGGTTTGCTAATAATAGAACTTGGATGGTTAGAAAGTGCATTCAATCTTGCTACATTATAGATCAAACAGTCACTAATCTATGAAAGTTGAAGATCTATATATACATTAGAAATTGGAGTAAGATAGAAGTCCAAACCTTCAAATGTATCTCCCCATATGGTTTCCATTGTTTTGCACCTAAGCGATTGTGATTGCTCCCATTGCTGCATTTCCTCAAATACCTTATGGACTCCTCTCCGATTACCTTAATGCCTTTCTCTCTCACCGGACTTACCACGATCTTATCAGGTCCATGAGTTTTATAGTAAGACAACACCCCATCTTCCAATGTAAACCATCTCGATCTCCATCCTTTTCCATAGTTCACCCATTTATACAAAATCCCAGCTACAACCCCACCACCATTCCCACAAAAACCCATCGACTTCGAAATCGAAGAATCCTTTTCCCTAACTTCAATCTCACTATCCTCGACTTCATGAATCACATTGTCTGATTCAGTGCCGACAGACGAAACCTGCGCCGAAAAACTCGCCGGCCTCACACTCCTCACCGAACTCTCAAACCCTAACTGACACTCAGACTGCGGCTTCACAACCGCAGACGACGGAGAATTCGTCCGATCCTTCTCAATCGACACCGGAGCAATACAACACAGCGGATTCATCTTTCCCCAAAAGAAAATCAATCAAATCCACAAAATGGGAACCCTCAGAACATCAATTACTTAATTACTTACCTCAAAACACCAACAATTAAGATCTCTAAACGATACCAGTTGGAAATAAGAATACCAATGGGGATAAACACAAGGGAAGCCGATCGGAGCTTATGATAAATAGAGCAAGAACGGCGATGGTGCAACACAAGATTTTGCGATGAAGGTATGACATAGAGGAAAGGGCAGTAGAAAAAAGATGAGTGCTACAGTAAAATGTAGATCACAGAGATGCTACTATGATATAGATATAGATGCAGAGAGTACAGCGCAATTAAGCTTGCAGACAACGACGATAAAGATGGATGAGTGGAGAGAAGAGATCCATTTAATTTCCGACGCTGCATCAGTTGGAAAACTAGTGTGTGTTTTTGGGTGTTTGTGCGAGAGAGAAAGTATTTGTGTCAGAGAGGGAGGAGAAGGCGCAGGTTAAGAAAGAGGCGTAGGTTAAAGGATAAATAGGTTCATATAAATGCATGGTTTGTAATACAGTTAAGAGGCGATATAATGAATCATGATTGTGAACACGGCTAACGTGCGCATGCTGGCTTTGTCCATTGGGTATTTCTCAATGACATTTATAATCAATCCACCCTTTATTTTATACAATAAAAATAATTAGATTTAAAAAGCTATTTTATATTATATTATATAATATTTGATAAAAAAAAATTAAAAACTATTTTTTATATATAAAATATTTTTTATTGATCAATATTACATAAAAATCAAGATTACAAATAAACTGTATGTAATAACAACTTATTAAAATTTCATGTTTGATTTCGTATAACTAACTACAGATAAACATAGTCAAATACAAGTTAAACATTTTATTTTAAATCTAAAATATAAATTAGGATAATTATTGAGTTATAAAATAATAAAAAATTGAAATAAAAATTTACACAAAAATAAGAATTTTTAAATAGTCAATTTAATACTAGTATTCATACATTTCTTTTCGTATTTTATGATATCTTTAAATTTATATTTTATTTAAAAATAAAAACATTATTCTTTTTCTCAAAACCACATGAAAACCATGTTATAACATCTACAAAGACATAATAAAACGAAACATTAAAATCGAGATATATTTTACTGCATTACGTATGTACTTTTCTAGTTATATTATAGAGCATTTGTTTTAAAATAAAAAAAAACTCTTAAAAACATTAATTCACCCTTAATAAAACATTAATTATCTAAAATGATTGACTAATATTGGACTTCACAGTTACACAAACTATCTAATCCTCATTTGATTAGACTCAAATATAGTATATATATATATATATATATATATACTATATTATAAAACATTTGACAAAAACTCTTAAAAACTATTTTTTATGCGTAAAGTACTGTTTATTAATGCATATTACTTAAAACTCAAGATTATAAGTAGATTGTGCGTAAGTACAACTTATTAAAGCTTCATATCTGAATTCGTGTAACTAATTGCAGATAAACATAATCAAATACAA